AAAAAAAGAAAGAAAAAAAAGAAATTAGAAGGTCAATAGGCCATGCATAAAAAGTAACATAGCCACTCAATAAAATTGTGACTAAAGTGAATAAAAAGCAACCATATTGATGGTACATAACTTTGCAATTATTAAATTATTAGAAACACAATGAATGGATTTGAACCTTTTGCGTGATTGCAGGCGTGATTATTTCATTATGGTTGGTTATGCTCTATTTTTTCTTTGTTATTCTATTTGATCATTTGAAGGTGAATAAATTGTTTAATTTGCAAATTTCAAAAGCTATAAATTATAAGTTAAAAGCTAATTTCAAAAGTAAAAAAAAAAATCGTCAAATAAACAGCTATTAGAATATTCACTTGTGAGTTGTCCCACATCGTTTATATAGGAAAAATAGACATATTTTATAAGTATAACGAGCTTTCCCTATCTTGGTGTACTTCATCTGGCGTGTGATCGCACTAGTTTTCCTCCCGTTTCTTACACAAGCAATCATCTCCTTTTTTTTTTTTTGGAAATTATATAATCTTTCTCAAGTTTACAAATTATATATTTGGATTTCTGATTTATAAATTACAAATTATCTTTCTCAGATCACTTTTCCACTCACTTTGCTTTGCTTTATTCATTTCGCCCCTTTTACTTTCTACCATCTTTTCCATCCGAGTACATTAAAAATTTACTAATATCTTACTTCATGCCGACGTATAAAATATTGTTTGTATTATAAAATAATTTTAGAAACAAAAATAATTTTCAAACAAAAAATATTATTTTTTTTTGAGCGGTACTATTGATTGTGGAACATGGTTAATAATTTACTTTATTTTATAGTGGAGTAAATCAAAGGTCGGATTTTTTTTTTTCAATCGCTAGTGCTACATTTTATTCTAAATAAAATTTATATTTTATTCTCATTATTTTAATTATCTTCATTACCAAAAATGTAATTTAATTAGGCATAATATATTTTTAGTTATATAAATTTTTAGTATATGATTAATAAAATTACACGATTACTTGTATGTGATAATTAAGTTTATATTTTTTATGTTATAAGTATAAGGTTGTTTTGTAGTTTATATTTTAATTTAATGAAAAATATTGTTTTTATAATATTATAATTTAACTATAACAATTTAAAACATTTTGTCAAATATTGTATTAAACTACATAAGAACATATTATGCAAGGTACTGTTTAGGCTCACTTTAGATGGTGCGCTTCATTTGGTGGGACCGCATCCTCTTTCCCCGGTTCTAATAGAGAAGAATAAAACGCTATTCTAACTTAAAACATCTAAAATAACGTTGAAGATGGTCTTACATATATAAGAAAGATAATTAAACTTGAAAAACTCAAAATCACATAATTTGACCGACTAGTTATCATAAATTTAAAATATCATAAACAAGACTACGTCATAAGAAGTAAATTTTTGTATATCGATATAGCCGTTAGATGGATACTTATCATATATTTTCAGTAAAAATGTATATTTTTTTGCAATAACATATT